AACTGTTATCTTAATCAGATGTATTTGTCCGGCAGAAACCTTCATCATTGTGCTTTATCTGCACGAACCCATGTGTGCTCTGACTCAGCCACAAATCTCTTACATTATGGTGATCACGCTTAAGTTTTCGTGAACTAGCTAAGGTTTTCATTACGTGTCCAAGGCATTCAACTATTTCACGCTTTTCAGCAACAAAGAGATACTCTTTCCTTCCTATATTGCTTTTTTTTTTTTTTTTTTTTGCCTGTCCCGTTTGGTTCTTTTGCCATCAGAATTATTGTCTAAAGGCGAGGAAAGATGCCCGACGGATTTACTTTACCAAATTGACCATCCCAGCCTTGCCGTAATGGTCCATTTGATTCACCTTTTATTGTTCATTTTATTTTCACTTACTGAATACGGGACAGACTTGACTGGGGGAAAGAAGGGGAGAAAGAAAGAGGGAAAGAGAAACAGCTGAGAAGAGGGACGGGGGAGAGGGGCAAAAGACAAAAACCAACAGAATGAGCAGGAAAAAAAAGAAGAAAAAAATGCATATATCGATCACCTGGGTCACCTGCTGAGAAAGAAAAAAGAAGACAAGCAGAAGAGAACAAGAGTAATAGAATAAACAACATCACAATGATATATGGGAATATGACAGTAAATACTAAATGTTAAACATTATTGTGCAGCACATAAGATCAACAGAACACAGTGTGCTTTGAGGTAGGAGCCAAAAAGGGTGTAGTTTGTGGGTGTGATCACCCGTGTGTACACCTGTGAGCATGGACGCGCTTGTTTTTTTTTTTTTAAAGGTTCCTTCATGTAATGATCTGCTAGAGGGTGTGGGGGGCCACAGCCCCGTCCTCCAGGGCATGAAGCAGGTATGGAGGAGATCAAAACTCCAGACATCCAGAGGCCCCCAGAACACAAGAGACCAAGGAAGACCAACAGAGGGGCAGCCGCGCCACTGTCCCAGAAAGAGCTGAGGAGAGTCCCAGATGAGGGCTCACTCAGCAGCCGCGGAGCAGAAGCCAGGGGGAGTTTGAGTGACGCGCCCGTGAGCTCCGCCGGCAGCCAGCCGTGCCTGAGTGACCGAGCCCCAGGCCGAGAGGCCGGGGGCACCCCACCTCCGAAGTGGCCCGAGCGAGCCCCAGGCTCCAGGCCCCAATATGCGGCCGCCAGGGAGTGAGCCGGTGTGTACCTGGACGTCCATCCCCGGACACAAAGAACCACCAACGCACCGATGTCTGAGGGAGTCCGCCACTGGCAGGGGAAGTGGTGGTAGGGGGAGATAGGCCTCCAAACCTTGGAGGGCCTAAGATGTCCCCAGAGAGGTCCCCATATTGCTTGAAAATGGTGGTTTGCTTAATAAGGTGGAACATCCTTCTTTAGTAGTTTTTCCTTTAAATGGGCTCACCTGGCAAACTAATGATCATAGGTGTCCGAGATTGATTTCAGTGATACAAAGAGTCCTGAGACACAATTCCATCCATGGGTTTAATTGAAAAACAACTTATTTAATCTTTATGACACTTAACTGTCATAGTGCTATAAAAATATTATATATTCATATTTTTTTCCACTTTAAATTAGCCAATCTTTTAAAACTACTTCTCCCTGAAATATTCATATCAAGTTTTAATTATATTTCGGGGGTTTTAACCGATCGTGGCTCAAGAGTTGGGAGTTCGCCTTGTAATCGGAAGGTTGCCGGTTCGAGCCCCAGCTCGGACAGTCTCGGTTGTTGTGTCCTTGGGCAAGACACTTCACCCGTTGCCTACTGGTGGTGGTCAGAGGGCCCGGTGGCGCCAGTGTCCGGCAGCCTTGCCTCTGTCAGTGCGCCCCAGGGTGGCTGTGGCTACAATGTAGCTTGCCATCACCAGTGTGTGAATGTGTGTGTGAATGGGTTAAAAGGGGCAGCACGGTGGCACGGTGGTTAGCACTGTTGCCGCACAGCAAGAAGGTCCTGAGTTCAATTCCACCATCAGGCCGGGGTCTTTCTGTGTGGAGTTTGCATGTTCTCCCCGTGTTTGCGTGGGTTCTCTCCGGGTACTCCGGCTTCCTCCCACCATCCAAAGACATGCAGCTTGTGGGGATAGGTTAATTGATTAATCCAAATTGTCACTAGGTGTGAATGTGCGAGAGAATGTGAGTGTGAATGGTTGTCTGTCCCTATGTGTTAGCCCTGCGACAGACTGGCGACCTGTCCAGGGTGTACCCCGCCTTTCGTCCTATGACAGCTGGGATAGGCTCCAGCGCCCCCCGCGACCCTGAAAAGGATAAGCGGAAGCGAATGGATGGATGGATGGGTTTTAACCCTTTTAATCGCAGTTTAATTACATGAGCGCACCGGGTTTTTTTAAGCCCCAAAAAACAAAAAAACTAAATATTTTCCATAAAAAACATTTGAAGTAATATTTCACTTTTATTATAATTAGGCCTTTGGATGGTCCAAAGATTCGCACCAACATTCGTTTTGATCCAGCATTATTTTTAATGCAGGGGCAAATTAAAAAAAAAACTCACGTCCATCGCCCTAGGGACTGTTTTCTGCCACGCCCCAAAAAGTGCTATAAAAAGATTATATATTCATATTTTTTTCCACTTTAAATTAGCCAATCTTTTAAAACTACTTCTCCCTGAAATATTCATATCAAGTTTTAATTATATTTCGGGGGTTTTAACCCTTTTAATCGCAGTTTAATTACATGTTTTTTTTAGCCCCAAAAAACAAAAAAACTAAAAATTTTCCATAAAATACATTTGAAGTAATATTTGATTATTGTTATAATTAAGCCTTTAGATGGGTCAAAGATTGGCTCCAACATTTGTTTTGATCCAGCATTATTTTTTTGCAGAACTATAGTAAATTATAATAAAACGGTATACTATGTTTTTAGTTTTCACATACTAAGTGCTTATTACCTCGTTGTTTTCTAAAATAAACTTACAAAAATATGTTAATAACAATACAAGATCACTTTGAACCAGAAAAACATTTATTTGAGAAGGATGAACATGAGCGGTTATGTTGGGAATCGAGGAAGAATATGATTTCCGCTGCCTCCAGCCGGCTGCTTGAAGCGGTCTGCTTACAGCGGTCTGCAGCGGTGGTCCCGGTGTCGTTCCGCGGTGACTCTTCCGGGCCAGTTTGTTTCCCCAGTGTCGGGAGCACAGGCTGGGATCTAAATCACGCACAAACAGTATTCCACAATTTTTATTTTTAGTTACAAACACTTCTTTTTATGACGTTTTACGCCTGAAACGTTGGAGGGCTTAGTTCTTTATACAGAAAAGTTACAGCAGGATATAAATAATTATCAGGCAAAATATCCTTCGTTCATTGCAATAATCCTGTCCGAACGTGAGAATAGTCAACATAAAATTTTTCTTACCCTCAAATCGAATAATAAACAAACCAACAACAAATAACTCGCTGCGTCATCGTGACGCATGTTCTTTGTTCGGTCGACATGTCACCACATGTTTGATCGCAAGAGCAATAAATCTGTAGTTTTCTTTTCTAACACTCAACTTGCACGGTAATGCAACAACACAAGTTCTTCATAAAACCAGAACAAACTATAACTCGCTGATTCACCGTGATATGTGTCATGTTCTGTAGCGGAAGCTACCCCGACAGTAGCTACCGCTACATGCACGATCCCACGCAATCAATCTATTGTTTTCTTTTGTAACCCTCGTTGCATTGCCACTCAATGTAACGATACTAATTTTTAAAATAACGAAAACACTAGTATTTCCCTGCATTATCCCGATGCAGGGGGGAAGAGCGTATTTTGCCATCTGCTAAGAGCTAACGGCTATAGGCTGATAGCATCGCCAACGCGATCGCGGATCATTGTCTGCGAGTGACCAAAATACTTTAAAATATCGCCCTGTTACTGTCTCATCCATCTCCTTTTCGCTTCCAATGTTATAATAAGTGGCAAAGGTGCTTTTTTACCGTTAAACACAATTTGCATAATAATTTGGAACTAATTTTGGACTTGATGCCCTCATATTCTTCCATAAACAAATACACAGGATATGTACCCCTACCTGAGATAATCCACCTCTGACAACAATTTATACTTACACAAAAATCTAGTCTTACTGCCAGTAGATACCAAAGACCTGGTCGCCTACACAGAGCAGAACGAGCACGCAAAACAAAAAAGGGTTGAGAGCAGAGGCAAGCAGCATTAAAAAATCAGATTTATCAGATAAACTAAGGATTAAGACATATAGTAAATGTAAAGTTCAGGTTATTTTAATTTAAAAAAAAACAACATTTAAAGCTTTATTCAGTGTCATGACAAGTGAGCAAAGTGGAAAGCTACCACAGTCATTCTTCATTCTGTATGACTATTGTGTTCCTGACAGAAGTTCAGTTTTAACATTTAAGAAACTTATCTGGATCTATTGGTCTAAGCACCATAACTTGGTGTTTCTGCAGTTTGGAACCAAAGTGGTCAAAGTGCCCCTCATTTCCCCCAATAGGAAGCAGGATTTCCTCTTGTCCTCTCTGTCTTCTGATTGGTGTCATTGCTCTACTCTTCAACTAAAGCCTCATAGTACTATCCTGCAAAAACATACATCTTCTCAATCTCCCTTTGAATCTAAATTTAGTCTTGCACAGTGCAATCTGCTCTCAGGGTTCAAGCTCCAGGCACATTTTTAGCACATAATGTCTATTTACAACAGTTTAAAGTCAATGATGAAGTCAATAAAGGGAATTAATCCTGAAAAGGGTGCTTTGTGATATTTAAAAAAAAAACAAAAAACCCTTTTGCTTTCATTATGAGTCTTGCCTGACACTTTAAGTTGACTTTCATTTTCTTGCTGAATGGAGAGGTCAGATTGTTTGTTTCCTACTTCCTGCCTACCCTGCCAAAAGGTCTGCAAAGCTTGTGGAACTTCCAGGAGTTTGACCAGGCGTAACTACTCATGTGACAGGATATCCATCTGTCTGATTAAAAAGGGAAGGCACTGAGTCTCTGGATCACTGTTGCTCCATGTCACACACCTTTGTGTACACCAGACCCCTTTGCTCATGACGGGAAATCTCTGCTACAGTCTCATCCAACAGTAACTGCAAACTACACAAGGATAATGTTGCCCTGTTTAAATTTTGCTGTGGTCCTCTGTGTCCTTGTCCAAGTCTTCTGCATCACCGCTGATATAGGTATGTAACACAGAAACATTTTTGTTGGTTAATACACTTGTGGCTTCATTTGAAAAACATATCCCATGGGAATGTGTTGCTGAATTTTCTTTTTGCTCTGCTCCAGACACGAGTAGCTTCCTGATTTTCAATGAAGATCACAACAAGTGCGTAAAGGTGGCGAGTGCCACCTTTATAACAGTGGATGCTTGTAATCCTCATGCCAAAGATCAACAGTTCCGATGGGTCTCTGAGTCTCGTCTCCTCAGTTTGTCCCTTAAGCTGTGTTTGGGTACAACAGCGATAAAAGACTGGGTGAAGGTGCAGCTCGTGGAATGTGATGAGAGCAATGACCTCCAGCATTGGCAGTGTAAGAACGATACCCTCTTTGGCCTAAAAGACCAGGACCTGCACTTAAACTGGGGCAACCGCAATGAGAAAAGCGTCATGATCTACAAAGGTTCTGGGATCTGGAGTCGCTGGAGGATATATGGCACTCAGGGGGACCTCTGTTCAAAGGGATATCAAGGTAGGAATGATGGGCACAAGAGCCTACAAAGATAGCTAAACCTGAGTCTGCTTTAGCTTTGTAGAAAGTTTAGAAATGTGTTTTAGAAGGTCCTTGAACAGTGCATGCTTTAAAGTTGTTGTTTTTGGAATTTGTAAAGTACAATAAAAATTTTCTTACTTCCATTCAAATTACAAATGCAAAATATTACAATCTGTACAAAGCAAACTAGGTTATAAAAGTGCTATGGCTACTGATGAAATTACATTTACCATCTAAATATCTTAAAGTATATGGAAGGTTGTTTTTTTATCTGATCTGAGTACGAAACTTGGCTTGGCTATAATAATATTTATTGGGATTTTGTAGTTGTCTAGGGAAAGTAACATAGTTCTTATTCTTTCCCCTTCTTTTTGAATATTTGGACAGAGTATGAATGTTTTAGCACATGTTAGAATATGTCGTTGTTTGGAGTGTAGCATTTGAGGATTTAAGCATTACGAAATTATGTTTTCAACTGCAGGTATAATTTTTAGAAAGATTTTCTTGGACTAGAGGGGAGCTGGTTACAGCATAGCTGTTGAGAAACTTGCTGTTCTTACTAAAAGTGAACACAGTCAGGGATCGCTGGTGAGACTGCATAATTGTCAGTGCAGCACAGATAATAAGCAGTCCTTATGAAGGCACTCTCTGTGCACAGCATAGGCAGCAAGTCTCAACTGTATAACTGGAATCCATGGTGGATAGGTGAAAAACCCACACTTTTTAAAGCTTGGTAACTCAAACAACCAAAAGCTGTATTAAGTTTTAACATCACCATCACTTTCAGGTCAAGCTAAAACTTTAGACTCATTTATCACACCTGATAACCTATTTGCAAAGTACAAGTATGAGTTTGCGTGCTTTAATGTACTTTTGGTTTGGAGTGATTTGCAGTGATTTGTACTTACCATTTGCAACGTTTGCAGCACTTCCCAACATTCTGGAGCGTTTTGGGAAAAACCCCTTTTCATCATGGGCACGTGTCCATTACAAGCACAAGTTCATTTTCTAAATTTAAATGACTGACTTTAACCAGGGCAAGAAACCGAACACTACTCCTTCTCACTCAGCATCAGTAAACAAACTTGAGGGTAAATTGGCTGAAATCAATTGAATGAAGTTCTAAAAGCTTAAGAAAAGAAACCTAAGAAGTTGGGAGGCAAACTCTCATAATTATCAATCACATGCTGGTGAAATGACTGCACGTCTCCATTATTTGTGTCTCCGCAGAGATATTCACACTAGGAGGAAATGCTTTTGGAACCGCTTGTCAGTTCCCTTTTAAGTTCCACGAGAAGTGGTACGCCGAATGCACTAAAGACGGTCGTACGGATGGACAGCTGTGGTGTGCCACAGAGAGAGATTATGATAAAGTGGGAAAATGGGGACTTTGTCCAACCAGAGGTAAGGAATGAAAAATCTCTTTAACCTGAAAGATGGTCTGATCCAGTCCACTTTACATCTATAATATGAAGACAGGAAGTCCTCCATGGTTACTTTTATTAAATCATGCACAAAAACTTTGTTTTTTATGAAGCATTAAGTGCTGCAGGCCCGTTTTCTGACCCTCTCTGACCTTTTCCTCTCATGGACTGTCAACACAGCACTGTCCTCTGTTTCCTCTTTTCACAGGCTTAAGTTTCCCCTGGCACTGCTCTTAAACTGAGGCAGGAAAGCAACAGCAAAATAAGGGATCTCCCTTTACCAGACTGCTTTATAAAGTCAGAGTTCCGTCCCATCTGAGGCTGTAGAAGATGTTTCTTAAATTACATACTTTATATACTTTCTTCCTTTAAGTTTTGAAATTCTTATTGATACTTTCTGTTCCTGTATATCAGCTATTCCCAAAATTAAGACTGCTGTGGCCCACCTAAAAACCACAGACTCCCATGGGGCCCACCTTAATCTTTCTTCTAATCAAAATACAAGAAAAATCAGTGTATTTCTTTGAAAATGTTATTCAAAAAGCATAAACAACACAGGCTGTTGGCTATAAATTGCTAATGTTGCCCAATCAGTGTTAAGGCCCACCTGCCACACAAACCTCAGTACTATAATATCACAAACTAACCACCTCTTATTACTAATTTTAATTAACCTTAATTTAAATAAATACATTTATATACATATGTAATTGCATATACTTGTAATTTCAAACTGAATTTCTCTTATTACTGCAGCACCACCTGCAGTACCTTCACCGCCCACCAGGGCCCCCCCAGCTCACACTTCGGGAATCACTGTTATAGATCAACATGTCATCAAAACAGACATGTTTTAAATTGTGATAGCACCCAATCTTCAGTCCATATTCAACATGCAGGGTAATAAAAGAAACTGATCCTTCACTGTGTACTGAAGTCAGGGAGCGTTCAATGAATTTAACTTCCTGATGTAAGTAATTTCCAGCTGTGTAATAATTTATAGCGCTTTGTGTCTTTACCATAATCTAGCATCCTCCAACTGGATCACTGACCCAGTCACAGGGGTTCAGTATCAGTTAAACGCACAGTCAGTGTTGACTTGGTATCAGGCCAGGAAGAGCTGCCAGCAGCAGGGAGCCGACCTCCTCAGCATCGTAGAGCTGCATGAGCAGTCATACATTTCAGGTACATAATCAGCCTTCTATCATCTGTGTTATATTGCTGATGATACATTAATTTCAAATGCATGTGTTGACACAGGGTTAGCAAATCATTTGGGCTCATCTCTGTGGATTGGGCTGAACAGCTTGGATTTTGATAGTGGATGGCAGTGGAGCAACGGAAACCCTTTCAGATATTTAAACTGGGCCCCAGGTTAGTATGTCTTGGTATATGTCATGGAATTGTGTGAGTTTTTTAAATACCTGGAGTACTTCAAAGTACACCCTTTTATATTTAGCATTAACTAACCTGTGCTTCCCACAGGTCATCCATCATCAAACCCTGGTTAACTGTGCAACCCTAAATGCTGCAAAGGCCTCAAAGTGGGAGAGCAGCGTGTGCAGCAAGAAACTTGGTTACATTTGTCGTAAAGGAAACGCTACCAGTCTGCCCCCACCATCGAGTAAATTTCCATTTATTATGAGTCCATATCTTTACAATACAAACCTAGAAAGAGTTTGTTCTTAGCCCTTCTGGTCTCTGTCCAAGCCAAACAGCCTGGCTTTTGCCCCAATCACTGGGTTCACTATGCAGGAAACTGCTACTATCTGGTGAGGACTGCAGAGATGTGGAGTAATGCTTTAGCTGCATGCCGCAAAGAAGGAGGAGATCTTGCCAGCATACATAACATAGAGGAGCAGAGCTTCATTATTCTCAATCTGGATACAGTAAGTGTACAAGAAGATAACAACAATAACAATATCCTGCTAAAGTACTGAAATATCAGAAAGTAAGTACTCTATCGTGACGTGGAATAGGCCTACCTATTACCTACCTACCTATAAATGAAAAGAATATTTTACATTTTGAGAAATATGAAACTAGCCTTGAGCTAATTAGCTTAGCATAGCATTAGCTAGGTTGTACAGTATGAGCTTTGTAACAAACTATAGCTGGCAGCACCTCCAAACCAGACTAAATAAATAAATTTGTGACGTTCATTAAACAATTCTATTATAAAAACAGCCTGAAAGAGTAAGGAGACATATATGACCACTTTCCGTCTCTATATACTTCAAACCTCAGTGCCGACAGATGTGCTCTGGATTGGCATGAATGACCAAAAGAACCAGATGCTCTTTGAATGGTCCGATCACTCACATGTCACCTTTACCCAGTGGCAGAGTGATGAGCCCTCTCATCTCACCAGCTTCCAAGAGGACTGTGTCCTGATTCAAGGAAAGGTAGCACAAATTCTTGCAAAACCACAATCAATTCTGTTATAAAGTTACAACTCTAAGACCCCTCTGTATTTCTTATACAGGATGGTAAGTGGGCAGATCACACTTGTGAGAAGTTGCATGGATATATGTGCAAGAAGAAGGCCTCGGCTAAACCAATTGGAGGCAGTCTAGCAGAAGTCAACAAAGGGTGCACTCTTGTGAGTTATGTCCTCTCCTTTAAATACAGGTGCAATTTAACAGAAAAGCCTTTATTCATCATTTTTTTCCCTTTTTTTAGGGATCAATCAGGTTTGGTTCATACTGTTATAACATCGGAGCTGAGAAAAAAACCTTTGAAGAGGCAAAGCAGGCATGCTCAGGGGCTGGTGCGAACCTGGTGGATGTGTCTGATAGGTATATTTCATGTTTAGATGTTTTGTATTAGTTCAAATACCAAATATCCATTCATCTCTCCATCCATTTTGTTCAGCTTATCTGGGGCAGAAGCCCAAGCAGAGAAGCCCAGACCTTCCTCCTCCAGCTTGTCTGGGGGAACAACAAGGCATTCCCAGGGCAGCCCAGAGATATAACCTCTCCAGCGTGTCCTGGGTCTGCCCCGGGGCTTCTTCCTGGTGGAGATGCCCATAAAACCTCACCCAGGAGGTGCCTAGGAGGCATCTTTGTCAGGTGCCCGACTCACCTCAGCTGGCTTCTTTCGATCTCGAGGAGAAGCGGCTCTACTCTGAGCCCCTCCCAAATCGCCGAATTTCTCATCCTATCTCTAAGGGAGAGGCCAGCCACCCTTTGGAAGAAGCCCATTTCTGCCGCTTGTATCCAAGATCTCATTCTTTCGGTCATTACCCGAAGCTCGTGACCATAGGTGTGGGTAGGGCGTAAATCGACCAGTAAATTGAGAGCTTTGCTTTTACACTCATCTCTCTGTTAACCACAACAGATCGGTACAGTGTCTGCATCACTGTGGCCGCTGCACCAATCCGTCTGTTGATCTCCCGCTCCCTTCTCCCGTCACTTGTGAACAACACCCTGAGATACTTAAACTCCTCCACTTGGGGCAGGAACTCGTCCCTAACCCGAAGTGGGCACTCCACCCTTTTCCGGCTGAGGACCATGGCCTCAGATTGGGAGGTGCTGATTCTCATTCCCACCACTTCACACTCGGCTGTGAATCGTTCCAAGGTGAGCTGGAACCCCATCACCAGATGAAGCCAACAGAATCACATCATCTGCAAAAAGCAGAGATGAGATCCTGAGACCACCCAAGTGAAAGCCTTCCACCACTTGGCTACGCCTAGAAATTCTGTCCATAAAAATAATGGACAGAATTGGTGACAAAGGGCAGCCCTGGCTGAGCACATCACCCACCAGGAACGACTTCGACTTATTGCCGGCTATGTGGACCAAGTTCTTGCAACGGTTGTATAAGGACTGAATGGCCCGTAGCAATGGGCCAGACACCCCATACTCCCGGACCACCACCCACAGGACCCCCCCCGAGGGACACGGTCGAATGCCTTTCCCAGGGAGGCTGAGGAGTGTGATTCCCCTGTAGTTGGAACACAGCCTCCGGTCCCCTTTCTTAAAGATGGGAAGCACCACCCCGGTCTGCCAGTCCAGGGGTACTGCCCCTGATCTCCACACAACATTGTAGAGGCATGTCAACCAAGATAGCCCTACAACATCCAGAGCCTTCAGAAACTCGGGACACCGCTTTCTCCTCCTGAGTCGCCTGACGGTTTGCCAGAATCTCTTCAAGGCAGTCCAAAAGTCTTTTTCCATGGCCTCTCCGAACTCCTCCCACACCCGAGTTTTTGCTTCAGCCACCACCCGCTTAAGTCCAATAACAAAACAAGTGACGTGAGCATTGAAGTCTCCCAGTAGGACAACAGACTCTCCAGGAGGACCACCCTCCAGTACCCCACCCAGGGACTCCAAGAAGGCTGGGTACTCTGAACCACCAATCGGCGCATAAGCACAGACGACGGTCAGGACTCGTTCCCCGACCTGGAGGTGAAGGGAAAAAACCCTCTCGTCCACTGGGAGAAACCCCAACATACCGGCAGCAAGCCAAGGGGATACCAAGATACCCACCCTGGCCCGCCACCTCTCACCAGGGGTAACTCCAGACTGAGACAGAGTCCAGCCCCTCTCCAGGAGGCTAGTTCCAGAGCCCAAGGTGTACGTTGATGTGAGCCTGACTATATCTAACCGGTACCTCTCAACCTCACGCACTAACTCAGCCTCCTTCCCCACCAGAGGGGTGAAATTCTGTGTACCAATTGCCAGTCTTGGTAGCCGGGGATCGGTCCTCCGCTCCTGGCCGCCGCCCGGCTCACAATGCACCCGGCCCCCACGGTGCCTCCTGTGGGTGGTGGGCCTGCACCACCTTTGCTTTTTGTTCTATTGGTAGACCATACATTTTCAATATTGTGCAATAATTTTCATTTACGTCGTCATTAGAAGTTGAAACTAGATTAAAATTGGATTGCACAGTCCTTGCTCATATCATTACTCAATTCTTGAGGAACATGGTTTCAGTTCTTTCTTCAGTTTTTTTTTGTTTGTTTTTTTATAGGGGATGCAAAAGAAATCACTGGACAAGGGTAGCTTTACTAGAGCTCTGATCACTTGATCGTGATCGCCTACTTTTACATAAAAATCCTTTAATATTAGAGCCTTCATCAGACTAGTATGGACAGTACTGAACCATGACATGAAAATTTGTTTGTCTGTTTTGGACTTTACAACTATTCCACACTTAATTCTAATGCAGAAATGTCACACATATGCCAAACTTTGTGTATGTTTTCATGCAGATATGAGAATGCTTTTCTGGTCAGTTTGGTGGGCTTGAGACCAGAGAAGTACTTCTGGACAGGCTTATCGAACACAGAAGACAGAAACATGTTCAAATGGATGACTGAAAGAGCGGTCACGTTCACTAATTTCAATGTGGGAATGCCAGGTACACCTTAGACTCTTTAACCTTATACACTCTTTAACTTATTACAATCCAGAGTCAGTTTTGATGTGTGTTTGGCATCACTGTCCTGTTGGAATACCCATTTGTGCCCAAGTTTGTGTCCATCTAGCCAATGATTTGAGAAGTTGTAGAATTTGGAAGAATTCACCCTTTGTGTAATGTAGCAGAACCATTGTCAGCAAAACAGTCCTAGAGCATATAGAGCATGTTGCTACCACCACCATGCTTGGCAGTTGATACAGTGTTCTTAATTTACTCCTCCCCTTTACTCCTATTATTTTGGCTGAATAGTGGACAGCTTCAAATTTTAGTCGAGCTTGAAGGTGCTGATTTCTGAAACTGGCTTCACTATTGACAGTGAAGCTGGGATTACAGCAGTTTCCAGTTCATGTCTTTTTTTTTCTTTTTTTTTTGTCTGTCCCGTTTGGTTCTTTTGCCATCAGAATTATTGTCTAAAGGCGAGGAAAGATGCCCGACGGATTTACTTTACCAAATTGACCATCCCAGCCTTGCCGTAATGGTCTATTTGATTCACCTTTTATTGTTTATTTTATTTATTTTTTTATTTTCTTGCTAGATTCGGGACAGACTTGAATGAGGAAAAGAAAAGGGAGAAAGGAAGAGGGGGAAAAAAGCAGAGAAGAGGGACGGGGATAAAGGGCAAAAAACAAAAACCAACTAAATAAGCAGACAAAAAAAATACATATATCAATCACCTGGATCACCTGTTGAGAAAGAAAAAAGAAAACAAGCAGAAGAAAATGAGAGCAATACAATAAACAACATCAAGATGATCTATGGGAATATAACTAAATACTAAATATTAAACATTATTGTGCAGCACGTAAGATCGACAGCGCACAGTGTGCTTTGAGGTAGGAGCCAAAAAGGGTGTATGTGTCTGTGAGCACCCGTGTGTACACCTGTGAGCATGGACACGCTTGTATTTAAAAGGTTCCTTCATGTAATGATCTGCTAGAGGGTGTGGGGAGCCACAGCTCCGTCCACCAGGGCATGAAGCAGGTATGGAGGAGATCAAAACTCCAGACATCCAGAGGCCCCCAGTTTCCAGTTCATGTCAATATTCAGTCTTGGTTGTTCCTAGCTTGTTCCTGAACTAACTAAATTTCCTCTCAATTGAGGGAGAAAGTTAGGGTCTTCTTCCAGATTTTGGCAATGTGGTGACCAGTGTTGGGACTAACGCGTTATTAAGTAACGCGTTACAGTAACTACGTTATTATTGTGGTAACGAGCACGGTAACTAGTTATTATGCCAAAATCAGGAACGCGTTAGTCGTTACTGGGATTTAGATAGGGTCGTTACTCGTTACTTCGTGTGGTGGCTATCGCGGAGCTTCCACAGATTCAGTAACATTAGCAAGTGGTGGAGGCCAGCAGGTGGATGAAGGAAAAGGGAGGCAGAAGGAAAACCCGAGGCGGCCACCGGTGTGAACTTCAGGTAAGAAGTTAGACCTGCAGTCTAGATATGAACCAAGTTTAGGTGGAGTTTATTTTCGTTATTCTGACTTTTCCGTAC